CCTCTCTAGCCAACAGGGCAAGTCCCCCTCACTGATCTTCCTGCCTCTGGTCCCCTGGACCCAACGCACCCCAAGCCCACAAGTCAGGGCCACCCCTATAATCCCAATACAGGCAACAGGATTGCTGTCCTGGAGCCAGACTGCCTGCACTCAAATCTGTAGGACTCCTGTGACCACAACAAGTGGCTTACCTGCTCTGTGGCTCCATTTCTTACTTAGTACATTGAGGAGAATAAACCCACCCAACGGTTATTGAAAGTCTTGACCGGCTGCTCCCAAGATGGCTTCCAGTGAACCCCGCCCTGTAACCTGCCTTGCAGAACCCCTCCCACTGGGTGTGGCTGGACCCTGCCCCTTGCTTCTAATAAACAGAATACAGCAAAAGTGAGGGGTATCACTCCTTGGTCGGGTTATAAAAGCCAGGGGGCTTCCATGTGGCCCACACTCTCCCTGGCTTACTCTGATGAGCCAGCTGTCCTCTGGAGACTCCTGTGTGGTAGGGACTCTGGCCAGCCACTGCGTCACTGGCTCAGAAGCAGGTCCCTCCCCAGGTGAGCCCCGCAATACACCCAGGCCCAAACAACCCTTCACTCAGCATGCTGAGAAACCCTGAGCCAGAAGACCCACGGAGCCATGTCCAAATTCCTGACTTTCCGAAACTGGTAGTAAATTCTGTCTGAGTCCTTGAGTTTAAGGGTAATTTGTTCTGCCGCAGTGGATAACTACATAAGGAATAAACAGAACAACATAGATTAAGAGCTCAGAATGGGGCCGTGTGCGTGGCCAGTCCGTCTGGGCTACTGTCCTCACCGTACTGTTAAAGTGGACACTCACTCAAAGACGGAAAACTGGAAACGTAAGAGATGAAAGCCGCTTACCCACAGCTCCTTGCAAGGCAGGGCGGGCCCAGTTTTCCAGTCAGCAATAGAAACCTGATGACTAAGAGGGAAACAGATGACATGAAGTAGGGCCCCCAGGCCCTTATCTCCTAGGCCACAGAGCAAACAAGGAGCCAGTCCTCACCTCCTCACCTGGCCTCCAGGTGCACCCCGGGCTGTGGATGGGGAGGGGGAAGAGAGATGCGCTTTGCTTTACCTGACTGCATAATGTCATTCTTGGTGGAAGAAAAGTATGCCAGAGGGGAAGAAAGTAGACAGTTCACACCCCAAAGAGGGGCAGCCCCACAGTAACGGAGAGAAGCTACCCTGCACCCCTTCAGGGTGGTGGAGGTCCACGTGCCCGCCCTTCTCCACTCCAGACGCCTCCCACCCACACAGAACCCATTAAGACAGCTCGGATGCCTCCTCCGCCATGACACCTTCCCCAGTAGCCAGGGCTTCCCTTTTCCGGGTGCGAACCGTACCTCCATCAGAGGGCACCAGGTGAGGGCATCCCTGCCGGTGCCCGCCCGTCAGCCTGTGAACTACCTTACTGTTTCCGGGCCGTCCTCCTCGGAGCTGAAAGAGCAGGCACTGATGCTGAGGGCATCACGGAGCGCAGTCGCAGTCTGGTCCGGAAAGGCACTCCAGCCCGGTACGAGAACGCCAGGAAGAGAAGTCCCGAGTCCATCTTAGAAGGAGAGCTGCGGGGAAGCTGCACACTCGCTGGGGTAAGAAGGTGTATTCAGGGCAGCCTAGAAGCCTGCAGAATCGGATCTCCTTTGACAGGGAAACACCTGCCACCTGTGGGTGGAGGCTCCTGATTCGTTGGAGCCCGTAGTTCTGAGCGCGGACCCTAAAGGAGCTGCTTCAGGATCGCTGCCCGGACGCTGGGTGAGAAGCTCTGAGGCCAGCAGCCTTTAGCTTAACCAGCCCTCCATGTGATTCTGATCACACTTACATTTAAAAACCTCCTTCAAGCCAACTAAAACACATGTGAAAAAACTAGAAATACAATCCAGATTGATTCACAGGTAAGATTAGAGAAGAACCCAGAATGGTGCCCCTCGCTATAAAATCCCCAGGATCAATGAAATACCCACTGCTTTCTTCGGAACAGTTCAACAGGCGATTAAATGAACTCAATACATTTGTTTTAAGTGTGTAAAATAAATGTTCATATCCTAAGAGTAACACCAGATGTTTTACCTCTCTTTCCTAATTGACTTTCCAGCCTATAGCAATTCATCTATATTTTCCAGCTGGATCCTAATGCAGCAAGGAGCGGGTGTTCTGGCAGGACTGTTAAATGCCATGCATTTTTAAACAAGCACAACGCAGGCTGTTATGCGTCATCTGGGTAGTTGTCTCCCCGAAACATGAAGAAAGGCACTCTAGGTACCAGCAGACTGGAGCAGGAAGGAAACCCAAAGAGCATCCTTTGAGGAGGTCGTGTCTCCGGGCCTGGCCCAAGGTTGAGCTTTGCCCCAGAGTCGTGCGTGCCTGCTACTGAGGGATTTGCTAGCTGAGACCTGCAAGTAAACACTGTTTTCCACAAGGAGTTTTGCCTCTAAAGTGGAAGGGAAGTAGGCGAGGGAAGCCGGGGGCAAGAAAGGAATGAGACAGTGCTCGAGCCGCTGGTCCTAGGGGACCCCGCCCTTTCCAAACAGTCCCCTCTTCCTGCCCAGCTGAGTGCCAAGCTGTGCTCATCCGTGCTGAAGTTGGGGAAAGGTCACCACCAACCAGTTTCTTCACTCACAAAAGCCCTTGGAGACTTGAGAGGCCAGGCAGACAGAAGCGCACAACTTCAAAGGAGACCTCCCTGCCATGGGCGCTGGGGGGTGGGGGCACCAGTGCAGAAACCCAGAAAGTGCTGATTTGCAGGACCAAAACCACAACTCTGGGGTAGGTGACCGAAGCTGGCACTCCTACCCCGGGAAGCCCCTGGGACTTTGCAGGTTTGAGCCATGGCGCCTGCACCCGGGTTTTAATGTGGTTTCCAGGTATAAATCAGCTTGTCTAGGCCTGAGGACCAATGTGAGGCTGTCTCTGAAATTAGAGGTGCTCAGGCTTGAATCGCTAGATAGGGCTGCTCCACCCAGAGTTCAGTCCTGTGAGGTCCTCCTTGGGCACGTTCAGCTGGAAAGCTCAGTAATAAAAGAATCAGTTCTTTATTCAAATTCTCCCAGGTCCACTCAGCAGCTCCGGCCCCAAGATAACAACTTGCATCTCAGGGTCACCCTGAATCTGAAGGCCACCCAGGGACCACTGTCTAAAACAGCACTCTCTATATTTAAGATGCACAAATGCTAACTTTTCAAGTTCCAAAGAAGCAAGCCCTGAGAACAGACTTTAGATGGTGTTCCTAAATGACACAGATGAAATACAACCGAGACCTTTGGCCTCACCCGACTGACCCCATTAACAAGATCCAAGGTTTTTGCTTGGGGTGTCCTAGTCACCCACTTATCTCCCTCAGGAGATGTGACAAGAACCTCCGCTCTCCATCAGTCACCGGCCCGCAGACCCTGAGAGACATCATCCTAGCGTATTCTACTCGTTATATATAGGGAAATGGGGGTACTGCCAGGAAAGACCCCACCTAGAATTTTCCCCCGTTCCAATTTCATGATTTTCAGTTAGACCACAGGAGCCATTTGTAAATGTCATCATCATAGTCTTTTAATATTTTACATAAAAAACTGTATACACAGCTTATAGAACTTTTATGTAAACATCATAAGCTCACCACTTTGTCATTTGTCAGTTTATTTAAAAAATAAAAAAACAAGACAACAATTTAGTAAAGTACCACTGGGCTGGGAGGGGAAGGGAGGGGAGGGGAAAAGGAAACGGGTAGGTTTATTCTCTGTACAAAGATGCAGAGAAAATTTCACATAGCTGTAGACTGCCTTGTGGGAAAAGTTTTAAATAGACCCCAACACTTGTCACCTTCCTTTACCCAGATGTGCACAAACTGCACAATCAAATCACAAGACAGTGTTGCCACTTTTTTTTTTTCAAGAAAACAAAGCAAAAATCAGTAGGGTTTTCCCCCCTCTGTTTTAAAAATCATTAAAAAAAAAAAGACATCAGAAGTAGATGGGGTTACAGCATACAAATGTCACGGTCAGAATGCTACTGCCTGATGCAAATGACAAGTGCATTAAGTGTCAAACAATGAAACAATTGTGCAAAGGATTCTTTCAACAACAAAAAAGTCCAGCCTTTAAATAAATCAAATAACAGTTTCTTGGACCAAACGATTTTCACTTGTAGGACAGGCACAAAGTTCGCTATGGCAAAAACCACCCGGCAGCACCCGCAGGCGGCCGCAGGTGGGGGGCTGGCGGGCTCTGGCTCACAGGAGCCGCGTCCTCTCGGCCCAGGCCAGCTGCGGTGTCTTCCCAGGGCTCGGGAAGATGCCAGGTCCAGTTCGTGCTTGGATGGGCGCCGGATCCAGCCTGGGCCGGAGCTGCTGTGGCGCTCTGGTCACCCCACTCGTCACCACCATCTTCCCTCGGAAAATAAAGTTGGATCTATGTTTATGTAACACCCTCCCGTCCTCCCCAGCCCTCCCCCCTGCAGTTCCCGAGGTCTATGTTACAGACAAGGGGCAGCGCGCCCGCTGGTTACCGGCCACGGCGGATGGCGACCGCGTGCCCCGGGGACCAGAGACGGAGGCGGGTGGAGGTGAGGTGGGGCGGG